TTTCTCGAGCAAGAAAAAACAACCAGCTGGTGTAGCTTTGTTTTGCTTTATTGATTTCTCGTCTGGCTTAACACGCAAAAGAACAAGCAACTGATCACTAGTTTTGCATTGCTTTCCACTTTTCGTTTTTTTTTTTAATTTTTTATGACATATTGGCTTGGGTCTCATTTTCTGTACTTTCAGTTTATCATGCTATGATTGTACCGTAAATGGCTTTTAGCTTTGATTTACCCCTATGTGATAAAAAATTTTCCAAAAAAAAAGTTTTTATTTTTGCCAAAGGTAAGAAAATTTTTTTTTTGCATGAAGACCATCAAAGCGAGAAGTTTTTCCAAAACAAAACAAATTTATTGTTCCGACTTTCGCAACGAAAGTAACGGAATATTTGTGCTCGGGGTGGTTTTTTTCTTCGGACAAGTTTCTAATTTGTAACCAGCCATTTTGACGAAAATCTTATCGAAAGTTAAATTATTCAAAAGATATTGTTGTCTTGAGCTCAAATTTGAAAAGATATTTCACTTGTGATTTTTTTTGTAAAGTTATGGCGGTTTAAAAATTGCCAATTTGGCCAATTTAGGGCCATTAACGCGCGATACATGTCGCGCTATTAACGCGTAAGCGGAGATTTAATCCGTCTTAGAAATCGTTCCAAATTTGTTGAAGAAAGCTTATTTACATAATCACTTTGTACTTTATATGTCGTGTGGGGAGATGGTTTTCACAAAAAATCTCAAATTTAAGAAAACGTTTAATTTACATTTAGTTTTCTCATGTTATTACTGCTCCATAAACCTTAAGAGGTAGTCGAATCATTCAAGTTTTCGCCCTGATACGAGCAATTTTGTTTGTTTTTAAGGCTTGAGCAACTATTTCAAGACGCTCAAGCTGTCATCTTTGCTCATCCTCCATTTTGTCGAAATCTGTAGAAAAAAGTTCGTTCTAATTATTTTAAAGCAATCAGTGTTTTTTCATTCATTAGTTTCCGTTAATTTTTACATCCGAAGCTTGGGGTTTTCAAATGTCATTATTTTAATTGTTCAAATAATTTTTTGTAATGTGAAACGGTGAAAAGTGTTGCCTTGTCGTCAATTTAAATGGAATAGCTCTTAACAAAAGCAGCAATTTGTTAGCTGCCAAAAGCAAGGTACTGAGAAGCGATACTAGAAGTTCTTGACGGTTAGAAATGCAAAAAAAGATCAAATTTGTTTTATCATTTATGAGATCAAATATTTTTCGAGCTATTAACGCTGAAGCTGAGGTTTAATCCGCCTTAGAAATCGTTCAAAAATGGTTGAAGGAAGCTTATTTGCCTTTTAGCTGATATGTTTTCAGGGGCAAAATATATCACTTTGCAATTTATATGGCGTGTGGGGGGATGATTTTCAAAAAAAATCTCAAATCTAAAAACATTTCATTTCATTTTATTACAAGTAATTTTATCATGTTATTACTGCTCCATAGACCTTGAGTTCGACTTTATATTTCGACTAATTTGACTCAATCTTTCGAATTTGTGAATGACATATTTTCCAACCGACTCGCCTTCTTGTTTTGACTATGATTTTGACTATAGAGTCTTCTCGATGAAAGGTAAATTAAACAAATAAATGAAACATAAATCACAAACCTCAAGGCGGGTCTGATTGGACAAATTTGCTAAACTGTTGAGTCACTCTGGCCTACAACGAAAGTTTAGGAAAGGCAAAAAACACCAATAACTATTGCTGTTAATTAGTTAGTAAAGCGAGTCCACTCTATGTCCAATCCAGATATCTTGGGCCCAACTGTTATTAAGCGTCTTGAATAGCTGCGCATGAGGGACAACGTTGAAGCGTGTTTCTATGTCGGCAGTGTTTGACGCCAGCTGCACCTAGCATGAAGCTCCTAGTTGGGTATGGAGGGCTCCTAGCCGGTAGACTTCGCCGTCCGAAGACGTTGATCCCCCACACCACGGAGAGGTGTCTACCATGTGGAGGAACTATTGCTGTCAAAATAGGTTCTCAGCAAAAATCGCAAGCGAGCGTCTGATTCGAAGAAAATTTAAATTAGTGCTAAAATACAAAGGGTTGAATTACAATGTTACTTAGGAATTCGTAACTTCTGTACAGATAAAATTGAGTCTTAAAAAAACGAACTTTCGAAGAAAACGGAATTTTAATTTTTGGTAAGGTTTTAAGTTTTTAATTTGTTCAGTAAACTTTGGCGATCGAAATAATTATTTTTAACAAATTTTTCGTTCATATCGAAAATATGGACTCCTTAAAATCAAATGTACAAATATATTTTTCTCTTGATCATTTTTTGCAACGTTATCGGTGTTTGAAAATTGCCAATTTGGCTATGTTCTGGACTTATTTGTGTGCGCTTTGAAGGTTGTATTCATAAAGTTGACAGAATAACACGAACTACATATTCCTGGCGAATTATCCAATTAACAAAATATTTCCAAATTAAATTGAGGCTAGCTAATTGGTCATTTCAATTTTGGCATCTCAAGTTCTCTACTATTGAGTTTTGGTATTGTCGAAAATTTAAAGTTCTTCAATACTTTGTTTTCCCAAAAACTATTCGACATGGGTTAAGAACCAGTCGGAACATTTAAGGCATTGACCTGTATACGAGCAGTCTTGAATTGATAATTGAGTTTAAACTAATGATAATGCGCTGACTTAATAAATTTAAAGTAAAATTGTTAAGTTTTTACGGATAAGGTTTACGGCTTAGATGATAACTGTTACAAAAAATAATTAATGAAGGCTTTATTTTGTGGTGCTAATAACCAATTTTTTAAAAGGACCAAAATCATATAAGGCTTTTCTTTTATTCATGTTTTACTGTCGTTTTTATCTTTTAATGTACTTATAACGTTTACTTATAATGAAAAAAATCATATAACGTTTTCTGAAACTGCAAATCTGTCTAGACAAAAGTATGAAAACGGTGTTTCTCTAAATTACTTTCCAAGGCTAATTTTTCCAACCATGTTTGCGTGAAATCTTGCTCAACTGTTGCTGCATGTTTAATAGTTCTGAGCTTTTAGATTTTAGCTTTTCTTTAGAAAAAACTTATAATGAAAAAAATTAAAACTAAAAAAGTACAGTAAATCTCAATCCAATTGCTTTGCATTTTAAGTAATTTTTGCAGCAAAAAATATACTTGCATCAACCAACGCGACTTGTTTCATAATTGGCTACTGCTTTTTGAGCAAAGTTTATAGTGTTTTTCTACCTTTTTCTGATAAATAATTTTTATAATATTTTTAGCAGGTTTTCTACTATTTCTTCATATTTTTTTTAAATATGATAATTTTTTAACTGTTTTTGAGCTGGATTTAAAATATTTATTTTTTGTGTGTAGATTTTGGTATCGCGTTGCCAGATTATGAAACAACAATTGACATCTTTGATGATAAAATGCAAATGCGATGCTAAGTTTTTTTTCGCGCCTCAAAAATGACTGCTGGTATCAAGACAAAGGCTTAAAGATTCCTTCTGTTTTTAACTTTCAATGAAGTTGAATTTGCATAAGACTTTTTCAAAGATTTTTTGAGATTTGATTTAGATTTTTTTATTAGATTTTCAAAAGAATTTTTTCACTTATATATATATTTTTGAAATTGATTGTTTTTGAAAATTTTTATCAAATTGTTTTTAAATATCTTCCTTTACAGACCAAAAAGATGATGAAAACAATCTCAGGCAGTAACACATCAAATAATCTAATTAGTTTGCCTCAATTTGTATTTGATTGATTTCTGAGCCGATGACATTTCTGAAAAAAGTTTATATCGTGGCTTAATTAACTCAAATGGGACAAATTGGCAATTTTTGAAGCCCAATAGTTTTAATAATACAAAACCATTCCAAGCACAGCTATTTCGTTACTTTTGGAAATACTTTTCAGATTCATAGATGTGGGTTGCTTTTTTGATTTCAAGTTATTTTGCCATGCCAAATTGGTTTTTAATTTTAGCTGATGTAATCAATTTTTCAACATTTAACAAATCAAAGCCAACTAATCTAAGAATTTTATTAGATATTTATGCAGCTAAATCTCGAAAATTACATTCTGGCATTATCCTGCATCAAACAACTCAAATAAACTAATATTAGCGCCTAAAGCAAAATTTCAGCGACTAATCACTGAAATTTTGCTTTATACATCATTCGAAAACTATTGTTGTCCTGAGCTTGAATTTGAAAAGATATTTCACCTGTGAGCATTTTTTGTAAAGTTATGAGGGTTTAAAGATTGCCATTTTGGCTATTTTGGCCAATTTGGGACAATTAACGCGCGACATATTTCGCGCTATTAACGCGTAAGTGAGATTTAATCCGTCTTAGAAATCGTTCCAAATTGGTTCAAGGAAGATTATATGCCATAATTGATTTGTTAATAGGAGCAAAATCTATAACTTTGTACTTAATATGGCATGTGGGGGGATGTTTTTACAAAAAATCTCAAACTTTTTAGAAAAAAAATTTTAATTTTACTTTATTACATTTAAATTTTCCATGTTATTACTGCTCTATAGACCTTAAAATGCAGTCGGAACATTCAGGGCTTCATCCTGATATGAGCAGTCTTGTTCATATTTGAACTTCATATGTTCGACAATAGCAAAATATAACGCGAAAATTAACATTAAAAGTTGTGGCAATATCTAATTGTGAGCAAAATGATCACAAAAGGATTACATTACAAAATGATTACATTTTTTGAAAATGATTTAAAACCACTAAAGAATTATTCAAAAACCGCTCAAACGGCTCAATCTTAAGCAAAATTTTTATTAGAAACCCATAGAATTATGTTTTTTTTTATAAATCAGCAAATGAGTCACAATTTGCAATTTTTAGATATTGGATTTGGTCAGTTGTTATCGTTTTTCTGCGCCAGCAATTTTGTTAATTCACGTGTCTTCGCTGATTGGTATTGCTTGTTAAATAAACACGCGAGACGTAGCCACATTTACATGTTCTCGCCGTGGTAATTTTTTGCGAATAATCATTAAAATCGCATTTGGCTGTGCAGAGTTCCAATGAATATAAACATTTTTTCTAATTTTAACGTAGAACACAGTCCTTCATACAGAAGAGAGTCTAATCTATTGTTCAAACACTGCTTCTTGGCAAGCAATTGAGTATAATTTAATTTTTCAAAACTGTTAAATCCCACACTCGAATAACTGGTCCAGCATGAGTGAAGCTCTGAGAAATCGTCAAGAGCGTCTTCGTCAAAAGTCCGCCCAAGGTTAGTAAAGCTTTCAATGTCAACGAAAGCATCAACAGTATTGAACAACCACACTTTTTCCAAAAAAAACGCTACCAAACTCTAATTGCTGAACTAGTTAGATCCCATTCCTATTCCCTCAAGATCGCAAACCATTAGCACACGAAGTGCCCTTCTTGGCATGACCTGACAGACTTTGAACTGTAGCAACTGATTTTGCTTTTTAGCATCAGTTTCTATCTATGATTAATTCGGCAACGGTTTTTATTACCCTTGTGATCAGCAAGGGTATTGCAACCGGGTACTAAACTTTTCCCCCGTTGAAAACATTGTTCACAGGACTTCAGATGCACTGCTGAGCATACTTAAATTGTATACCAAGTTCCTTCTGCTCGTTTTGCTCATTTTATGCTTGCGGAGACAAAGATCTAGGGTTCGATTACGTTCAAAAGCCAATTCTGTTCACAAATTGATTTTTTTGGAAAATTGAATTACCGTACAATTATTTGTCTGCTTGTTTTTGCCTGGTTTAATTTGAAGGCATTTTTTGATTTTTCTTCTGACTCAAGTAATTTTCAATAGATATGAAAGTCATTTCAAATTTTCTTGCCATTTGTAAATTTACCATTTTGATTTGTATAATTTCTTTTGATTCTTCTTCCATTTTCTTTCAGCTTGATGAGTTTTGGCTCAGGTTATATTGGCTCAGTCACCTCATATTGGGTCATTTGAAAGGGAAAAAAATCACGTCCTTGAGCATTTCCGAAAAAGAGCTTACAAAGTTAAGGGTGAGGGGGCGGAATGAGTTCAAAAACTTTCTTGCTCAACCCTTATTTTGGATCAACAGGCATCTATCCTTGTCGGCTTGAATGTTGCTGGCAATTTTTTTCTGAAAAAATTGTTTATTTACTACAGGCAGTTGCGTTTTGACAAATTTTCTTCAAAATGAACGTCAATCATTTCAAACAACTCTACTAAATTTTGCAGATCACTTTTTTCGGCAATTTTGTTCAAATAACTTTTTCGACTTAGTGACTTCCAGCTCTTTGTTCTGACAAACATGTAGAATTGTGAACATAAGCCGCAGATTAAACAATACATGTTTTTTATATAAGTTTTAAGTCAACAAACAACATTAAGTCAATACAGGCCGGCTTTTAAACAAAAATATACTGACTGAAAAAAGGTAAATTCAAGAGTTTTATATACATATAAGGCATAGAGTCGCCAATGATTTGTTAAATGGTTTGCGTTCATTTACATGTAATAAAAGTTTATAAAATTTCGTTCTCGATTTTTTGGCTTTTACTCTAGCAGTCGTAAACTCAATTGAGTTATTTCCAAGAACATGTCCAGTACTAACTTTTTTCTTTCTCTTTTTCATCGATATCTTATGATTTTGCTTGTTTTTTTTCTTATTTTTTTTAGTTGAAAGATTTATTTTTTTTCAATGAACAAATCGTCATCTTTCTGTTGTAATCTTCAGAAAAATTTTGCACTATGACTAGGATGGGACAAAACTAAGGGTTTTAATAGAAGAACACGCGTCATTAATAAAAATATACTTTGACCAAATTCCGCACGCCATTAAATTAATTTTGTCCACAAAAGTCATTTTTTGGCCAATGTAGTGCCAAGATACCTCCTTTTCCTCCTTTTCAAAAATTTTTCCATCTTTTCTGTTGGCTAGATTGCAAGGATATGTTTGTAATGTATAGTAAGTGGTGCAAAACTCCGCTTCGCTTCTGTTTGATATATTCGGCTCAAGTTAGAGGTGCTTACTCGCCTGAAAAGCCTAGATTTTTCATAGGACAAGTACGTCAAAAATTTCTCAAAACAATAATGATATATTGATTAAAAAAAACTTGAATTTTGAAATCTTTTCATTCAACCTTGAAACGAGGTCATTAATAAGTTAATGGAAGTTTTGAAACACCGCCTCACTGTTGCAGAAAATCGGTAAACGTTTTTTGCGAAAATCGTTTTTCAAGCTAGAGGTTTTTAGAAGCGGCCCTTTTTGCAGCTATTGGAAATGAAGTTTCTATTTTAAAAAAAGTTCTAACTATGTTCATAACCGAATTAAAAGTCACTGTATAATATGTGACGTTTATGAAGCGACTGTGTTGGAGTCTTTCGGCGGTGGTGGAATGAGAGCCTCCTCGGATGACCCGAAAGACAAAGTGAAAGCAGAAAGTGACGTAGATGGAATGATTGTGCAGGAAGAGGAGGAATTCGTCCAGGCACATCCCGACTCAGATTCAGGGGCACTGCACAGCACCCCTCCAGGGTCCTCGGAGCTGAATGGGGATGCAAAAAACGAAGGCACAGACAGTGTAAATATACCTGCTAAATATTCATTCAACCTCAAACTCAATGTATTAACCATTTTTGACGGGACATCAAATTTTTTGAGTTTGACGGGACATCGCTCTCTAGTTCCTAGTAGCACGCTATGCTGTTATTCAAAGCTAAGTTCATTTTAGATGAGAGCAAGAATCAACATAGTTGCTGCTCGACTCTTGACGGCGAACTTGTTTGTGCTCTTAATTACAAGGAACTAAAAAGTTAAATTGCTTTGATACGATGGCTATAATTGAATGATATATTGAGATCAGCGAACGAGAATTTTTTTTGGCGCGAATAGTTTGTCTGATCGAATTTTTTGTGTCAACCACCGTTTTCTATCTTTTGGGCTCAGTCGAAAACTTCAAATGATCAAAGATAGCAAAGGTTTGGCCAGCAATTTTTCGGTTGGGCATTTTAAAACACCTTTTGGAAGGTGTAGATCTCAAGTTGCTTTTTTAAATGCGCGCTTGCTCCTCAAATTTGGTATATGCTGGAGCCCAAAGAGCTTTAAGAAAAAACTTGGTGTTGATAGGCCATAACAAAAGTGTCGTACTACAATGATACCTCTTTGAAAAATTGTCAACTGAGGATTTGAATCAGAAGGGGGCTCTAATTATCCAAATCAGACAAATTCTGGTTCAAGTACCATGTCATAGCAATTTTGTTCAGTGTTTCTTATAATTACGGGCAAAACAAAAACGTAATTAGCTACAAATGCTTTCAAAATAACCATTAAGGTTGCCCATGGTCAATATATTTATCCAGATTGTCCTGAAGATTGACCATTACTAGCCATCTGTTTGCCATATGGCTTAAAGGTGAACGTAATTAAATAGTAAGAGCTAAGTTTGGATTCGAGCAAACGTCAAAGCAGAAGCTACCCTACAAGTTATTACGAGACCGTGAAAACAGAATATTAAGAAGCCTATATGAGCAACCATTGAGCTCCAAACCATTGAGTTAGTAACTATAGCTTTGACTTATGGTCATAATGAATCACAAAATATTCAAGGATTTTCGTTTTGTTGCTTTTATGTTAGCTTGCGTTTCAATATTTCCGAAGAGATAAGACGGAACAAATTAATACTCTCTCTCTAAACTTGCCCAGGTGCACTTCAAGGGTATATGATATTTCGTAGTAAGGTGTATCCTTGCCGGACTTAGGTTAAATTTCCTCTCAAAGTTACTAGTCAGTGAAGTATTATTGATTTCTACTTGTGGCATTTTCGGTTGCTTTGGTATATCGACTAATTAGTTGTTATTTAGCTGAACCTGATTTTTCCCTTTAAAATTTTATCACCATTTCTGATCCTGATTAAACCCATAAAGAATGAGTAACAACGAAAAGGTAATCAAACAATTATTCTGTATTCAAAACTTTTCACAACGTTGGGAATTTTTCAATTGGATCTGCCTTTTTGATAAGAACATTCTGAAAACTGCTTGCTCTATATCAGCGAGATATTTTTTGGTTTCAAAAAAAGGTCGCACAAATAATCATTGGAGTTGATCGAAAGATATATAATATTGCAACCATTGCAGTCAAAACATATTCCAGTGTCGAGAAAAACTAGTTCTAATTTTGAGCGAGTAAAGCAATTGAATTGGTCTATACAAAAGAAAGTTCTTTTGAGTGATGAAAAACATAGTTTAAAAAAAAACTTATTTCATTGTTTTTATTTTTTTCGAAGACAACTGTCGACAATCATGCTTAACTATTCTTCTATTCCCCTCGTTGTATAGCTCTCTCATCACATCACGCTCAAAAACCAATTATCAAAATATTTCTATAATTTTTTAAGGCAGTCAGAACATTCTCCTACTTTGGTTAAATCATAGCCTATCTCACAAGCCCTGTTACAAAATTCATGAAAAAGAAACAATATAACAAAGAAAACAAAAAATGTCATAAATTTTGCAAAAAGATAATAAAATTTTTTTTAGTTCATTTTTAATACGCTTGCAATAAGCGAGCGTTATCAAATCGGACTATAGAATTTATTCGGGTTCAACAGAATCACTTGAATCATTTGGTATCTTGTTTCATATTAAATTCAAGCTTCTAAGAGTATCCGGCACACTTAGTCTAGACGCATGACCAGGAATCTGGCCAGGACCCATTGTATTTTTAAAAGCTTTGATTTCAATTTTTTCCTTTAAATTTTTTTTTCGCGTATATATTTTCGGCTTAAATCGTTTCCGCTTATATTTTGACGGCTATTTTACTAAAATTTGCGTCGTACAACATCAAAATGAAAATTACAGTTGCAATTGTTTCATGACAACAATTTAATTTTTGCTCAAATTTTGTTTTTGAATTTTCATCACACGCCATCAAATGTAATTCTGGACGTGTTTTCCGCAAATAGAACCTCATTTTAGGCAAAACTTTGAAGATTTTTTTTCGTGGTTTTCTCAAAAATTTTCCCGTTTTCCCAGGACTTAGTGGATTTTTTTCCTTTCCTGTCTACTAGCGTGCAATGCTATTTTTGTGGTATCGCAAGTAATGCGAAGCTCCGCTTAGCCTCTGTGTAAAAAAAAAAACATTTTTTTTGTCACCAGCTGCAATTATTGATAACTTTGTCATTGTTTTCATTAAACCCCAGAATTACGCTCAAAAAATTTCCAACTTGATGAAATTTATTACCACAGTTCGGCAAATTTTTCTACCTAATGCAAAAAAAATCATTTGAAAAACACAAGTTTTTGTAAAATAAGAGACGAGAAACAATCACACGTCTTGAAACTACTCGCTAGCCGTTTTAATAGGTAGACTAAGATTCACCTACCTAAAGTGCACTCAAATCAATTTAAAAAACACAAAAAAAATTTTGACATTTTTCAATTCAAGTTTTATAGAATTTTACTTATCGTTTTGTAACATCATTTTATTTATTATTTTCAAAATTTGTTCAACGTATGAATTTTGGTCAACATAAAAAAGTTTAATTGTCCGCTCGTCAAAAAGTCTTTGTCGGAATTCTGTTTGCCTCCTTTTTTTCGGCTTAGTTACCGCAGCACCACCAAGATTTCCTATAACTTGAACAATTTTTACTCCAATTAAAAAAAATTCTGTTTTTTTCCGTTGTGAGCAAGTAATTGAGTTCCACAAAACTTTGCCTTTGGTTGTTTTTAGCAAGAATCTTAAGCAAGCTTTTTTTGAAAAATTTGACCTTGAACAAAATTTAATCTTGATATTGTTAACTGCACACGATGCTTTTTGCCGAGTTTGATTCTCATATAATTTTTAACGAAGTTTTGCTCACTTTTTGGAACCTCGCTGAGTGTTAATTATGATAATGTCAAAGCACTAAAATTGGTATCTAAAAAATTCGGAAAATTTCTTGTAGTTTTGACTGATTTTTGTCTGATTTTTTGTTCAAAATTAAACTTAACGAAGAATAGATAGTTTTAGTTTTCATGGTTTTAGTTTTCTAATTACATTTGGCTTAAGTTTTTTTAGAGGGCTACCTATTTGCTGTTTTTACTTTTTACATTGTATAAATGGTTCACTATTCTATTTCAAAAGCATATTTTAGCCTGCGAGTCAATTTTTCATCTACTTTTTTTTCGAAGTTTTCGATTTCTTAACTTCTCGATTTTCCTTTTAACTTTTATTGTAGTGAATTTCCCTGGTCGGTATGTTTTGTTCTACTTGCAAAGCAGACGACTACCCTTGTTTCATGTGTTGCAGTCTGATTTCTAACCGTATTAGTGACTTTTTTGGAAGTCGATAGGCAACGTTTCTGCTGTTGGCGATTTACATGGTTTACCGTGGTAACTATAGTTACCAAAACGTAAACAATTTACGAGTCATTCAGTTTAATTGCATTTTCTGTTTACAAAAACATTCTCCTTCATATTTTGGCTGAAAGGAAGTTGCTTTGTTAGTCTGGCGGCGCCGTGCAAAACCTGATTCGCAGTTTTAAACAGCCCCCAGCTTCCCCAACTGTTTGTTATCGCACCAGGGGGTCTGTCTAAGTTCCCCTATAGAGCTTAAACGGTCCACTGATAAGAAACAAAATGTTCCCAACAAAATACATTCAATATTTACCCAATCTTTATAAATGCAGGTGAATTGAGTAACAAACTATTCCGAAATGGTTGTTACGATAAATCATGTGGAAACGAAACTTTAACTACTTTTCGATCAAATAGGTTCTTCAATAAGGCCTGCTCATAAGTGACTGGTTTTCCCATGTAGTTATAACACTACTTCTTCCCAGGAGTGAGCAGCTAAATTCCAAGAAATTAAAATCTCTGACTTGTCAACGACTATTTCGCGTGTATACCCACTCTTTATACCATACCCTACACACACCCGCACAACTGCGGGGATTAGAGAGTCTAAACTGACAGCTTTTCTCAGAAGGTAGAATCGGGCCCAGGACTAATGGCCGACGGGAAACCTGCCCGAATATAAGCCCAACCATTTTTATGGAGTCCATTGCCTTCTGCACTGAGTCTGCTTACACAAATTTGCATACTGCACAGTCGAACTTGCAAGTCTGGATGATTCGTGCTAAACCCAAAACTACCTTGAGTAAGATGCAAGATGATTGATGAAACTGCTAATGAAACAATATATTTGTTCGTTCAGTGAGCTTTCGACATTAAAAATGATCATTTTCGTCTGTTTTTCGTCTTAACATCCTATTGACCTGTTGCACTGTAAAGCTCTGCTTTATTGTGTTTCATGCCAAGCATTTTCAAGCCAGTTAAATGGATAAATTGGCGTCCTTTAGCTTTTGATCGAAGTTGATTACAGTTTCCTTTGATAGGTCCAAACTCTCAAACTAGAAACTTCTTCCAGAACCGCTGAGCCGTGGGTTTATTCAAATATTGCCCCATTAGCACTAGCTATTTAAATTGAATTCAAGAGAAAGAAATATAAGCACGCCACGTCCATTTACTTTTCTTGCGGCAAACTTTCTGACCGAATTGTCACCAGTAGCTTTTACTCAACTTCTGTTAATTTCGTACCATT